ATTAATAATTATAAGTTTAATGTATTTTGTATCATTGTGTGTGGGACTTTAAATTTTAGGCTTGAGAATTATTTTACAGTATAACTTAAAATTCATGTAATTTTATACATTAATTGATCTGAGTTGTTATTACCACCAGTATCAAATACAAAGTACTTCAAAATAGTATGTCATGTTTTCTGATGTGTTTTCTCTGATGGAATTGAAGAATAACAGCATCTAACATTAGAATCATTAGAATTCTTAATATTTATTACTGCCAGAGGATAGTTAAGTTTCTTCTTTCTTTCTTTTTCTTTTCTTTTCTTTTTTTTTTTTTTTTGAGACAGAATCTTGCTTTGTTGCCCAGGCTAGCGTAAGTGCCATGGGATCAGCCTCACTCACAGCAACCTCAAATTCTTGGGCTCAAGCAATCCTGCTGCCTCAGCATCCCGAGTAGCTGGGAATATAGGCATGCGCCACCATGCCCGGCTAATTTTTTCTATATATATTAGTTGGCCAATTAATTTCTTTCTATTTATACCTAGAGATGGGGTCTTGCTCTTGCTCAGGCTGGTTTTGAACTCCTGACCTTGAGCAATCTGCTGGCCTCGGCCTCCCAGAGTGCTAGGATTACAGGCGTGAGCCACCGTGCCCAGCCGATAGTTAAGTTTCTTATGGAGGAAAAATTCTGATGTTTTTCAATGTAGAATTTATATTGTTGTGTTTATGTGAATACACTGCTCCTTTAATTTTATGAGTAAGGAAATTCTAAAATAATATAAAATTAAGATTTACGTTAGATCTTTGAAATATTTAGAATTTTTAAGTTCTTCTGGTTATGCCAATTATATATATATGATATATATATATGATATATGTGCAAGTTTTGGAAATGGTTGCTTCTTCAATAACGTTCTTTTTGTTTTTGAACCAGAGAATAAACAGAGTAAAGAGACTATTACAAATTGAAGTAAATCCCCGTTAAAAAATGACATTTGAATAGGACTAGTGAATTACCAGTTATACCTTAAAAATTTTTATAAATTGTCCATTTGTTCAGTGTAGAGAGAGCTTGAGGGCTATTAGGAGTTAGCCATGTTTAAGGGGCTTTCAGGGATAAGAAGATAGCCAAAATGTGATATCTCTTCATGAAAAATTTCTGAGGAGAGTTCAGGCTAAAGCCATAATTAAAAAGAGTGTTACTGGAAATATTTTTAATGAGTCTTTAGAAAATGTTCATTTAATTGAATATTGTAGTACCATTAATTGAAAGCTTCTTTCCTTAAAAAAGTATGAATGTCTGAATAAATGTTTTCTCAGATAAATTCTCATTAGATCTTAATTGAATTAGATATTATACTATCTTTGACATGTTGGGCTTGAAAATTTATATAAACTTGTGGATACTGCTGTATCTGTCAGATTTTTTTCCCTTTTTTTCCCTTTTTACCTACTCGTAGACAAAAGATTTTTAGAATCTTCCCAGAGGAATTAGTCTGAGATTTTTCAGTATTCCTTTCTTTAATTTTAAAGTGCTTGATATTAAATACATTAAAGAACTTTCAGCATGATTTATTGAGTATATTTTGGATCTCTTTTTACCTTTGAACAGAGTAAGTTGAGGTTTTCTGATAGAGTGTAGAATATATTTTCTGTAATGATACAATGATTTCATGAGTTCTTAACTGATTATACTAGATTCTTGTTTGAATCTTTTCTCTCTTTATGGCATGTGTGCTCTATGCATTTTGTATTTTTGATAAAAATGGTCTGCTTGTCTTATTTATTGTATAACTCATTATGGTCTTCTGAGTGCCTTTAAGGCTATTGATGATATTTAGTGAACAATCAGTTTGTAATGTAGATGAGGTGGTGTAGTGCTTAATTTCTGATGTTTGGTTTGTAGAATAATTGTCCTTTATATTTTATTCATATCTGAGAAGAATGACATTTTAAGAAATATGAATATGGATTTTTAAGATCAAATAATTTTAGAAATTGAAAATAACTTTTCTACCAAATACTAAATGATATGCATCTGGCTACTTCTGTTTGGTTTATTGTTGGGCTTTGAACTCTTTAAAATCTTGAAAAGTCATCTTTTCCTCTCAGAGGCTCGCATAAAATACAAAGAACAGAAGAAGTCATGAAATTGTGTGTGTCACCCATAGATACCTTCAGCATGCACCTCTTATTCTCATTCCAAATCTACAGCCTGTGAATTGTTGTTAGCAAGTTATATTATGGTTTGAGGATAACAGGTATCTGAATAAAATGCCTTGGTATCCTTGGTCATTAAAATGTATCTAGAGATAAAATACTGGAAACTTAGCTTAAACAATGAACAAATTATATAGCTGTCCAAAAATATTTTGTTTTTATAACTTCATAAGCTTTAAAATTTATAAACTTTTTTTTTTGTTGTTAAAATTAACATACAGACATACATTAATCTACTCTTACATAGGGTCAAGATTATCACTGTCACTGTCTTCCACCTTCACATCTTGTCCCCACTGGAAGTTCTTCAGGGGCAATAACATGCATGGAGCTGTCATCTCCTATAAGACTATTTTACAGTTAACTTTCTTTTTTATTAATATAAGTAAAGGAGTGCACTCTAAAATAATGATAGAGAATATGGTATGGTAAATACATAAACAAGTAACATAGTTTGTTATCAAATATTATGTACAGTATAAAATTGCAGGTGCTATACTATCGTGTGATTGGCAGCACAGTAGGTTTGTTTACACCAGTATCACCACAAATGTGAGTAATGCAGTGTTCTACAGTGTTACCACAGCTACCCATCTTCCCTAAACAATAGAAAATTTTCAGCTCTGTTATAATCTTAGGGACCATCATCGTATGGTATATGTGATCTGTCATTGAATGAAGCATCCTTATGGGGTACATGACTGTATTTCTGTGGGTTTTGATGATGAGTAGTTATGTCTCCACCACCTTAGTCATGAGACAGGACAGCTGCATCACCCTTCATGCTGTGATTTGGAAGTAAATATTAAAAGTTGTTTGATACTTAAAATCCATACGAAAATTTTTGTATGGATTTTACTTATGTTCTGGTCTGGTTTGAATAATCACATTAAGAGAGAAACTTGTTTAAATAATCAAGCAGTTGAGACTAAGAGAATAAAGGGAGCATTTCACTTCTTAATGTCACTGTCATTTGATATTCACTGGGGTGCTAGAACATGGATTTTTTCGTTTCAGCTTGTAAATAATTGAAAGTTTTCATGTAATGTATTTAGTCTTTTTAAATAAGAATAATTCACAAATTATCAAATACAGTGTATATGCTTTAAAATGTTATTTTTCTCACTTATTATTTGTTCCTCCTTTTTTACCCTGTAAACAAAAAGAAAAACAATTTAGAAATGGCAACTTTATGGTACTCTTTTAATATTGATTAGTCTGGAAAGAGTTTCATTGCATACATTTTTATGTCTTCTATAAAACTCTAAGTAGATCAAGGATAGAGAAAATGAGGTAATTTGTAAGAGAGAGAGATAACTAATATGCAGAATTGTATAAAACTGTTCAATTTTGCCAGAAAATAACCGTGCAAATTAAAACAAGATACTGTTTTTACCTATTAAGTTAGAGATGTATGACTATACACAGGCACAAGAAAGAGAGAGAATGAATACCCAAATCTGGTAAGGGTATAGGGAATCTCACACTTTAATGCTGTATAGTTATCTGAATGTTTTCGCTCTGGCAGTTACTAATTCAAATGTTCTACTCTTTGGTCAGGTTACTCTCCTTCTCTCTCTTCCCTCTATTTCTTTCGTTTTTAATCTTTTTTTCCTCACTCATGTAGGTGCAGGATGTTTTGACAAGTTAAATCAGGATAAGATGCCTGCCTTCCCTTCTTTCCTCTTTATGTGTGCATGCATGCCCACCCAGTCTCTCTGAGGGATTCACGGGGAGCCACTGGCACTTTTCCACTCAAGGGGAAGAGATTATTTTCTCCCCGAATTCTAGAGTAAAACTCGCTCAATTCCTAAAATTCAAGCCTCTGTCTCCTGATTACTGATACTTGCTTGGTTTTGCAAGGGCTGGGAATTTCTTTTTCATCTAGGAATGTAACCGTGTCGAATTCTTAGTTCTTGAACTGTTTCTGGTAAAAAACGATCTAAAGATAAGAGCATTCTATATAGAAGCTAGAGTGCTATCTTCTTCCACCTTCCCAGGAACAAGTCTGGTAGGTCAGATCCACTTGTGTTGTCTCTGTCATTAAACCTCCCAGATGAGCCACTATCCTGATTTGTTTTACAATAAAATAATTTTTCCTGTGTTTAACCTTAATATAGGTAGAATTATATGACACTTTTTTTGTGCATAGTTTCAAGTTTGTGAGGGCGGTATGATATTGCAGGGTTTTTGTTTTTTGTTTTGCTATGGTATTTGGAGTAGAGCAGTTACTTGTTTTATGAGGCTGCTCCTTTCCTTGTTGTTTGGATAAAGTGAGCAAGGTTTTCTTGAGGCTTTATTTTTTGTCTGCACCCATTGGCATTCTTGGATTGCCGACTTCTGGAGCAACTAGTCTAGGATAGGTGAGGCCAAAAGAAAACCCAGAGAACTCATCGCCATGTCATTCTTCAGGTCCTGTGGTACCTAGCCAGTCTGCCTTCTCTCTACCTTTCAGAGTCTTCTTACACTTTTTTTTTTTTTTTTACATGATGAACATTTTTAGCTGTGTTTAGTTGGAAGATTAGGAAAATGTATGTCTGTTTGATCTTTCTAAAAGGACAAATCAGATTGTTTTACCTCTAAGATATTTTTTATAAACCTTGAAATCATGAGAAAAAATGAAATATTTTATGCATTTATGGTCAGTTAATGATGAATATTCAAAATATTCACGAAAACAAGGTATTTTAACAGAAGTTGATTCGGGGTAAAATACAATCTCATGCAGTTCTGTTTCTATGAAATCCAGAATCATAATTTTACCCTGTATAAATTTAAATTTCTATGTTTAATTGCAGAATCTTTTAGCTGAAAAAGTAGAACAGTTGATGGAATGGAGTTCCAGACGCTCAATCTTCCGAATGAATGGTGATAAATTTCGAAAATTTATAAAGGCACCACCTCGAAACTATTCTATGATTGTTATGTTCACCGCTCTTCAGCCTCAGCGGCAGTGTTCTGTGTGCAGGTAATTAATATAATTTTAAAATTGAAAAAACTATAACCCAGGCTTATATATTAATTTTATTATAGTTTAAAATATGTATAAGAGAATTAAAGTTCTTCAGTAGTCAAATATAACTATGTGCATTTGAAAATAAGTATATTCTAGAAAATGACATTGATAGGCTAATATTACTTTATTTTGGATATGTAAAATATTTGACCAATTGAACATAGCATCATAAAAACTTTTATTTGTAATCTTTATATCCTGCATATTTTCTTGTAGGTCTCCTAGTTATATCCAGTCAATGAAGAAGCCCCCTTAAATATATTTTAATACTCTATTTTAACAGTCTATTTATTTTATTTTATTATTTTTTAATTTTATTTCAAGGAAATATGAAAGTATGAACATTTTGGTTGCATTTCATATCTTTGCCTCTCCCCAGCAAGGGTTAGAGGTATGCCCTTCCCCTCCACAATGCTCATCACATCCCTCAGATATGGGTCTACCCCCCAACCCCTGAATTTAATAGAGAGGACTCACTTTTACCTAGAGAAGTCCATTTACTTTTTGATGTCTCCAGTGATTAGAAATTTCTTCCTATTCTATAGAAGTAAACAATTAGAAATGAATGAAATATTTGTTGATAAGAACAAACTAAAGAAAATTTTGGATAAGTACAAATAAAATACATATGCAACAAATACTTTATTAAACTTATTGTGCAATAATTATAGGTTTACCTGCAATTGTAAGAAATAATATAGGGATACTGTATACTGGTTACTCAGTTTCCCATGATGGTAACATCTTACAAAACTACAGTACAATATCACAAGCAGGATATTGGCATTGAGGCAGTCAAGATGCAGAAGGGTTCTATCACCACAAAAATACTTCTTCTTGCCCTTTATAGTCACACTCACCCTCAAATGTATTCCCTACCCCTTGAATTTGACCTTTGGCAATCACTAATCTGTTGTCCATTTCTATAATTTTGTCATTTCAAGAACATTATGTAAATGGAGTCATACAATATGTGACCCTTTGAGTTTGGCTTTTAAAAAATTTACCATAATTCCCTCAAAATCCATCCAAGTTGTTGCATTTATCAACAGTTGATACTTTTTATTACTGAGTAACAATTCATGGTATGGATGTATTACAGTTTATTTAACCATCTTTAAAAGGACATCTGGTTGTTTCTAGTTTTTGGCTATGACAAATAAAACTGCTATGAGCATTTATCCAAAGGTTTTTGTTTGAACTTACATTTTTCTGGGATACATGCCAGAGAGTGTGGTGGCTGGATTGTATGGCAGTTTCATAATTTAATTATATAAGAAACTGCCAGAATGTTTCCTAGAGTGGCTGTATCATCATTTACATTTCAATCAGCAGTATATGACTGATTTAGTTTCTTCTTATTCTTGTCAGCATTTGGTGTAGTCACTATTTTAGCCATTCTGATATGTACTGATATTTCTTGTGGCTTTATTTTGTGTTTCCCTAATGGCTGATGGAGTTGAACATCTTTTCACGTGCTTCTTTATCATCTATATATCATCTGATGGAATATTTGGTCATGTCTTTTCCCCATTTCTAATTGGATTTTTTATTGATTTTTGAGAGTTCTTTGTATATTTAGATACTAGTCCTTTGTCAGATATGTGATTTTCCAATGTTTTTTCTTAGTACCTATTACAGAATCTTTTGTAGTTTTAATTTTGATGAGGTTCAGTTGATCAGTTTCTCCCTTTATAGTTCTTTCTTTTCTTGTCAAATTGAAGAACTCTTTGCGTTGCTGCAGATCCAAAAGGTTTTATGTTTTTTTCTGGAAGTTTTCTAGTTTTACCTTTTACAGTTTGATCTTTGAGAAAAAGCATTCAGTCTTTCATAGTTAAGTATGATATTAGCTGTAGGGTTTTTTTGTAGATCTTTTATTGTAGGTTTTTTTGGGTAGTTTTTTTTCTTTTTTTGGTAGGTCTTTATCAAGTTGAGAAGATTCCTCTTTTTCCTAGATGGCTGAGAGTTTTTTTTATCATGAATGAGTATTGGATTTTATCAGTTCCTTTTAAGTGTCAATTGAAATGATTTTTCTTTGTTAGCCTATTGATATAATGGATTAAATTGATTTTCAAATGTTGAAACAGTCTTGCATACTAGAATAAATCCCATTTGATTGTGACATATTCTTTTTTTTTTTTTTTTTTTTTTGAGACAGAGTCTCACTTTGTTGCCCAGGCTAGAGTGAGTGCCGTGGCGTCAGCCTGACTCACAGCAACCTCAATCTCCTGGGCTCAGCGATCCTACTGCCTCAGACTCCCGAGTAGCTGGGACTACAGGCATGTGCCACCATGCCTGGCTAATTTTTTGTATATATATTTTTAGTTGGTCAATTAATTTCTTTCTATTTTTGGTAGAGACAGGGTCTCGCTCAGGCTGGTTTCAAACTCCTGACCTTGAGCGATCTGCCTGCCTCGGCCTCCCAAAGTGCTAGGATTACAGGCGTGAGCCACCGCGCCCGGCCTGATTGTGACATATTCTTTTATATATTGTTGGATTCTATTTGCTGGTTTTTTGTTGAAGAATTTTGCATCTAAATTTATTAAAAATATTAGTCTGTAGTTTTCATTTTTTGTATTGTCTTTGCCTAGTTTTGGTATCAGGGTAATAATGGCCTTATTTTTTGGAAGCAATTGTGTAAAATTAGTGTTAATTCTTCTTTAAATAGTTGGTAGAATTCTCCAGTAAAATCATTTGGGCCTGGAGATTTCTTTTTCAGGAGCATTTAACTTATGTATTCCACTTCCTCAGTGGTTAAGGACAGCACAGATTGTCTATTTCTTTTTGGCTGAACACATTTTCTTTCCAGTAACAAACACTTTTTGTATTGAGACTCCATGTTCCAGGACTTTCCACATTGTATATTCATTATAGGCTTCTAAGCCATTTTGACCTCTAGTGTAGTTATTAGTAACTTGGATCAATGAAAAATATTGGATTCACTCAGACTAGCTTACAGGAAGAAAATTTTGAAATTTCCAAAAAGGATCTTATAACTTCCTAATAATGGGGGTATGTTGGGGCATGGCTAGAAGTGGGTAGAGAAGAGAGTGAACAACATATTTTGAAAAACAGCACTTTAGATGATTCTGAGTTCCCCGCCTATCAAATTTGAGGACCAGTACTCAAGTGAGTATTAACACTATTGTCAAAATTGGGCTAACACACATGGAGAGAATATATATACCTTAAGGGATATTCTAAAGCCCTATTCAGAGAAAAATACCACCTTAATTGCCATTTTGATATAACAGTTCAGTTTCTACTAAAAATAAAAAATGCCTGGCATTCTGTAATGCTATATATATTTTAGGGAAATCATTATTTCCTTAAAATTGAGTATATTGATTCCCTACAATCACCAGTATTATGAAGAAATATATTTAATTGATATTATATTTTTGTAACTATAATCTAGAAAGATTTCATTATCTAAATATTTATTTCACAGTTACATTAAATTATATGTACTGTGATGACATAAACCACAGCATACTGTTAAATGGTGCATCCTTTGGGTAGTATTTTACTTAGCTCATTATAGTGTTAAATGGATTGTTAAATATAGACTCTTAATTTTTAAATGACTCTCAGCTTCTAACAACCTTTATTTATTTATTTGCTTTTTGTTTTTCACAGCCTATTTTATAAGAAAGTTTTACATTTTAAAAGAGTTTTAGATTTATAAGAGAAAAAGATTGAAGTTATTAGAAAAAATTTAATTAATGGATCAAGATGGGGGTGGTATTAGAGAAGAAAGAAAAAAACAGGTAAAAGTTGAAAAGCAAATAAAAAGTATAGAGCAGATTTGTGAACCCCATGCCTAGACATTCTAATTGTTTTGGGGTGGGGCCAAGGCATTGATATTTAAAAATTATGATCTATATAGTTCTAGTGCACAAACCAGTATAAAGAAAGGGAAGGAAGGTAAGAAGCAGTTTCATGACTCACATCTCTTATTTATTTTTCATTGAGGGATAATGGAAGTGGAGAGGCTTAACTAATTGAATAACCAGGTAGCACTGAGTATCCTTTCTGAAACTAGAATACCCAACTTCTTAGTGAAGAATCTGTAGAATTAAATGATTTTCTTCTTTAGTACTTAGCAATTTAGGAGCAAGAACCCCCTTTCTTTGGGATTATCTTGTTTGCTTTATGGTATGAAGTGGCAAATGAGTAGACAGAGCTAGTGGTAGTATATTTTAAATGTGTAACTGGTTTCAGAAAAGTTGGATAAGGGTCAAAGGAAGCTGTGGAAAGCTGACAAACTAGTTTTGATACAGTTAAGCTAGATTTTCACAAGGATAAGAACAGGTTTTGTGTAGAAGCAGGATGGGGTTGAATATTAAGAAGTTCTCGTAAAGGGTTTATTTAATAAGTATATTGCTGAAGTATGATATAGATGGTTTTTGAAGGTATAGAGAAGCTTGAGGAACTATGAGACTATGGTAATGTCTAGATTATAAATTTGCATGAAATTATTCAGGGTGATATTGCCATTGGAAAGGAAAAAATTGAGCTTATAGAAGAATGCCTTGGAGTTTCCTAGATGAAGATGATAAATTTATGTTGTAGGATGATATAAATTTCAGAGGAGGATCTGTTAAATAATTGTGATTGAACAGTGGTCTTAGATCTACTACTGAGTAGTGGTCTTAAGAGCTACTGTTATTGAGCCAAGAGAGTGCTAACTGATCCATGGTAGAGTGGGCAGAGTGGATCAAAGAGATCTCAAGGGGACAAGTAAGATGAAAAAGTAAAAGGGAGTTTCAAGAAAAATTACTCAGATTATATTTCTGAATGATAACTTAAGCCTCAAAGGGAGTTATAGATACATCAAGAAAGGCACCTTATTAGCAGCCGTCTTTTTTTTCCCCCCATGTGAATTAATCCCCCTGGGTCCTTTTGTGTCAGTGTACTTTTTGGACTATTTCTATAATATACTGCTGTAA